ATATTCCAAGTTTAGATATTCCAAGCTTTTTCAATTATTTGAAAACTGGAGTATTGTTGTAAACGCTTATTTAGGAAAGTCTGGCAAATTTGTTGCCATTTTTAAAACATGCATTTAACTTCTGCATTCAACATTCAAAGTTTAAAGCAAGACTAGAGTGAGTAAAGTAAAACTGCCACGTCATGAATTGTCGCAAAAACTGTTATCTGATTGGTCAATCTCAAACGGTCTGGGTGTGGCTAATGCAGGTAGGAAGGAATGCAGCTAGAAATGACCATGACTCAACAATATTTACACATCACTGCCTGCTATTTAAATACACATAATGACTCAACAATATTGCTAATGACCATCAAGACAGAATTGCAGTCATTTGTTGGATCCACTATTTATCGTAAATTTCACACTGTTACCATAATGCTGATTCATGCCGTGTGAGCAGCATTCCCACATGTCACCACTTCATCAGTGCCAAAGGTTATGGTACAGAAATAAAAGATAATACAATATAAAATACATAAAAAAGCACTAAAAAGTACCCCATGTACTACAATCTGCATAACTTGACAAAACTCATCATGAATGAAGTTTAGGAGAAATAAGCCATTACTTTCCCATGTATTTAAGATTCCCATGTATTTAAGATTATTGCAACAAATCATCATTAGCATAAACAGTCAGTCTCCCTGACCAATCACACACACACGTACCTGTTGATCAGACTTTTCCAGAGTCCACCACCACTGAGGGCTCATCCAAGACACAAACGCCAGGTTTTCAGCCGCAAATGCTACGGCCCAGTACAGTAAGAGTACCGTACTGTGTCCTCTGGTTCGGTCCCGCACCAGAACCCTCCTCCTCTCCAGATGAAGCAGGGCCATGGCCCAAATCCAGCCCAGCATGGAGAGACAGCCAGACAGAACCACGTATCCCGGTAGCTCTCCGCTCCGAGTGATTCGAAACACCATCCAGCCCAGAGCCTGCAGGACGAGCAGCACTGACAGGCCCACTTGGAGCCGGTAAAGTCGAGAGCGAGGGATGAACTTGGGCTCCATGTCTGTGCCGTAGCGTCTGTAGCATATACACAGAAAAGTGCCGAAGAGGAAGGAGAGGGTAAGGAGGACGGATGGCACCAGGGTGAAGTAGAAGCAGAGAGTCAGACCGCCCTCCACCCAGACATGCTGCACGGAGACTCCCGCTTCACAGTAACTCTTTATCTCCACCATGATGATGATGATGGTGGTGGTGGACCCACAAAAAGAATATCTGGAAAAAACAAAATGGTGAGGAACCAAATGAACTTTTATTTCCCACAACAAAAACATACTGTGGCAGTGCAATAGTATAGGGATGGTAATGGCAATACCATGGTAC